AAAACATTGACCAAAAACAGAGATAGGAGTTGCAGGTGGGGGAAAAGATAAGAGCTCTGACAAGCTTCTTTTGATACATGTATTTGCAAATATATTAACTAAATGCAAAGCTATTGAAATTTAATAGCGCCCTAGTATCTTTGCTACATAAATGGTAAGATGTGTTATGCAGTAATATGGAGTTCATTAGGCTTTCTGGAACCGCCTACTTTTAAAGCAAGAAACCATATGAATATATAACATATCCACTGGAAATTAATATATCTGGAAATGCTTAAGCAATGTTCATACCAACTTAGACCAAAAATCCCATCTTCAAAGATTTAAAAAAACGAATAGTCCTGTAACACCTTAGTCTAACAAAAAATGTGGTAGCATGAGCAGAATCCACATCTTCAAATAAGTGGAGCAAAAGGCACAGAAACCCCAACATTTAAAGCAGAAAAGGGACAGCAGAAGGGTGGAAAACACCTATTATCTTGTCTGTACTAAATGAGGCTAAAAGAACGGGCTGTGTCCAATATTCAGCTTTTGATGTCATTTGGATGTTGAATACAATGGGCCATCCAATTCATGTTTTTGTTCAGTCCTTGAGTGATGGTCAAATTTGAATATGAAAGCCAGTTTCGTAGTGTGTCTCTACACTTGGTTCCTGAAATTACCTTGTAGAAGAATGGCTACTTTTAAATCCATCACTGACTTCCCAGGCAGGTTAAAATGTTGCCCCATAGGTTTGTGTGTTATTTTAAATATCTGATGTACGTCCATTAATCTGTGTCATAGAGACTGTCTAGTTTGGCCAAAATACATGACAGAGGGACATTGCTGGCACAGATCACATTAGAAAATGTGCCATTGTATGAGCCTCTGATGTGGTGGCTTATGTGGTTAGGTCCTGTGATGGTATCACTTGCACAGAGTTTATTCAAGGGGTAGGTTCCTGGGTAAGTATGCTTGAGGTATGATGCATGGTTGCAGGAAAGAATTTGCTTCAGGTTGGGGGGCTGTCTATAGCGAGGACTGGCCTGCCTCCCAAGGCCTGAAAGAAAAAGCGGGATCATTTTCCAAGATAAGGTGTAGATTGTTAATGATGCACTGGAGGGGTTTAAGTCGGGGGCTGTACGTGATGACTAGTAGTGTTGTTTTGTTTGTTGGGCCCATCTTGAAAAAGCTGATCTTAGGTACTCATCTGGCTCTATCAATGTTTTTTTACTTCCTCAGGTAGATATTTAAGTTAAGAATGTCTGATAGAAACCCTGTGTTTGTCTGTGGGATTGGAGCACAGGGCCTGGTTGTAAACAATTGATCGTGTGATATGTCCTGGATAGAATCTAGAGGCATGTAAGTAAGTATAATGGTTGGTACGTTTCCAGTATAAGATCGTGGAAATGTGGCCATTGTTTAAGCGTACTATAGAGTCAAGGAAGTGGAACCAGGCTAAGGCTGATGATGGGATGGAAGTTGTTGAAATCCCTATGGAATTCTTCAAGGTCTCTTTCTCATGGGTCCATATAATGAACATGTCATGTCATTAGTGTAGACTAACGAGAGTAAAGATGCTAGGAAACCAGAGCTGAGGAAGCGCTTTTCAAGGTCAGCCACAAAGATGTTGGTATATTGTGAGGCTATGCAGGTGCCCACAGTTGTGCTGCTGACTTGAATATATAACTGTCCCCAAATTGGAAATAGTTGTGGGTGAGGACAAAGGCACATAGCTCAGTCACCAGGTGTTCAGTGGCATCATCGGGGATTGTGTTTGATAGTTTTCTGATAACAGAGGTAGGTTGTGCCTATGAAAGCTCATGATACTATACATTTATATTGTTAGTCTAAGGTACTACAGGACCACTTGTTTACATTTTCTTAAGTTACAGACTAACATGGTTACCTCTCTTAAATGCTTCAAAGATTATTAATAAAGGACTATGACTGATGACTAAACACTAAGAATAAATAAAGTTTTAAAATACTATTTTGAGAATCAAAAAGCATTAAGAATTTATGGAATTATTTGAAACCACTAATACATTATTCATGAGCTGAAAGTTACTAAGATCTACCTAAGAAAACACTGAACCAGTGATTGGATGAGAACTAATTTGAACTTAAGCAAATGTGAAGTGTTTTCCTCCTTGCATAAAACTCTGAATTGAGCAAGAAGTTCACTCTCGTCCCCTCAGCTTTACAATACTCAGCACAAGTCATTGTGCTCATCTGTGCAAGATAACTGTAAGAGACCAAAAAAATTAGAGCAGCATCACAAAGAAAACCAAATAGCTCCAATGACATTTTCAGGCCTTTTGCTATCATTTTACCCATCTATGCTGAAAGCACTGCCAAAATTAAATTAAATTTTTATTCTAAAAGGATATTGAAATGCTATTGCATTTTCAGACACTAAAACAGATTGCCATTAAACATGTATTCCTTGAAAAGAAACTTATGCTTGATGTTGGTAAACAGAGACAAATCGTGAGATTTAATTTTCACTTAAAATTCTTGTTTTTCATTAATTTGCCTGTCTTAAGACAACTCCTTATATGGCTACTTTTGTGTGAGAATATTAGCCTTAGTTTCATAGGACTTAAAGGTACTCACCTTTGCCCATTTATAAATATTCATGTTACCCATGACATACTAATCAGGACTCAACTGCCCTTAATGAAATTATTTTTTCCGTGTATAAACTGTTTTAATTATTTTGGATTCACTGCTACTTCTGGGGAATACCATATACTCTCCTCCTTAAGAATCACAAGAGACCAGTACCCCCACCCAGAGGTAGGACTAGTCTCCAAAGGTATAATCTCCATTAAAAGTTCTCCACATGCAGAAAATACTGTTTACCATTTTTGTTCTGGTTCAGTATTCTCTTTTCCTTTAAATTAATCACTGTGGTTTTTACATGCTTTTAGGCACAGATTACCATGCACCTAAAATAGTGAGTAACCACCTTGAAGTGATATTTAAAGATGCAATTATTAAAATTTGGCCTATAATTTTCTTATTTCTCTAGACTACATATATTTTTGTACTTTCTGGGATAACTTACTTGGCATGCAAACACACACCTCTGAGGTTCAACATCAAACTGCCAAAACTCTAACCCCGCTGCACAACTGTAATATGCAAAAGCATTGTCAAACCCTCCCGAACAAATAAATCCTGACTAGCCATCGGGTAAAATTTGTCTTTTAAAAATGGTGAGCATAAAACATTGCTTGGCAAATATATGCTGTATATATAGCTAATAAAGACTTAAAGCATAGCTGTGTAAAAAAAAATCCCTCAAATCCTAAGCCCTGTTGAGAGCAGGTGGTTTATATCCCAAGTCCTACATAAAAAAAAGGACAGGGATATCTAAATTAATCGGGTCATGCCATTAGCCCTTGGTAGAGTACAGGCAAGGTGCATAATGCGAACAAGTGGAAAATACAAACCAGATTAAACTGTCAAAACTGAGTGATGACAGAGGAGCATTTCTTAAACATGGAAATTCTTGTTAGGAAAAGAACCAGGAAATTAAAACATTCAGATAACTTTCAGATATCCTGTGCCCAAATAAACACATGCTTAAATATGTTCAGTTTATAGTACAAACCCGATTTCATGCATGTATTTGTTTAAACACCTCCTTTTACAATTTTGCCAAAACGAGTCTAATGTTCACTTGTAAAAAGTTTTCCCAACCCCAAACATTTAGTATTTTAATCAAAAAATTCTGCCCTTTAGGAAAATGACTTTCATAGTGAAAATTAATCTTGGATAAAACATAACACTATGCAGGATCTAGCAAAATAGGAAATATTTCAAGGGGAAAATCTGCATACATCTATATAGGTCTATATTATAGAACTAGAAAATTGTATCATGCATTTGCGCTTTAAATTATGCTATATGGCAGGGCTACTCAACACGTGGCCCGTAGGCTGCATGCAGTCCGCGGCCTATTTGCGGCCCGCGGTGCAGTTTGGATTTATACAGGGCTCAACATGGCCTGCAGGTGGGAGCCAAAACAAAAAATTAGTCAATATAATGGTCTTCTGTTGATATGCATTTTAGTAGTTAAATTCCTGGACTGTCATTGCTCTTTAAGAGCGCTGTCATATGGGTGGAAATTGGGTATATATTGAATTTTATTAATATCAGCAGAACTGACTTAAATGGGGCTTGCGTGTGTGTAGTCTTGCCTTAATCTTTGAATTCATGCCCATCAGTGTGAAAAGCTATTTGCATATACAGTGAACCCTCGTTTATCGCGGTAGATAGGTTCCAAACCCGACCGCGATAGCTGAAAATCCGCGAAGTAGGGACACCATATTTAACATGCATATTCAGACTTTTAAAACCCTCCCTTTACGCTTGGGAGCCATTGCAGGGGTTAAACAGAAAGTTCAACAAAAAGTTCAACTTCAAACAGTCACGCACAGCACAGGTTAAAGTTACACAGTAACGTAGCAGCATCTACCCGGCGAGAGAGCGGCAAACAAAGTGGCCGCGAGAAGATGCTACTGGTCGGAGACAAGCAACAAACAATATTATTGGATGCAGTACTACGTATACATACAAAAGATTCATGGAAAAGATGCACATCCATTACATTTGTAGTAGTAGCCATCAGCAGCCTTACACCATTCAAATAAATTGGAACAACCTCAGAAGGAAAAATGTAAAGAAATAAAAACAATATAAACCCATAATGTAAATTTGGACATGCCTAATACTATCTCCAATAATAAACAAACATATCAATACCACAGTGGTTTAAGAATTATAGTGCAACTATAAAAATCATGTTTAACAAGGCCGCTGAAATCAACTGCTTATTGTACCAATGAAACTGATAGCAGTAAATGCAAGGATTAACATCATGGCTTTTTTTCCTAAGAGTGTAAAAGGCAACCATTGCTGCTATAATATACTTGCAACCTAATAAAGTTCAAGCAAATTGCAAGTGGATTTTATAAACAATACTTGTGATGCTATGCACTGAGACAATATTCTGTAAATCCAGTTTATTTTCCATGTAGATCCAGACAGCAGAGTCAATGTTTATGCATGTGAATAATTTATCAAAATGTTTATTTTTCCCACAAAAAATCCTTGTTAACATCCACTCTAAGATTCCTGGACCTGAAGCAACCAAATAAAGCTCTTGATCTGAGGTCAGTTCTATAAATCTGTAATTGTAGCAATAGTCTTTTTGCTGTTACAATAATTAAACTATTAATTGCTAAAGAGCAATTATGTTTGGAAAAAGTGGAACAGAACAACAGCTCAATTCAAGAAAACAAAGTTTTAGTGCACTTTGCTTATTTAAGCCAACATGATACATTGCCCCTTTTTTGCTTATTAAATGGACTTGAGCGTTTCCATTGTAAAAGAAATGTCTCAGCAAGCAAAACACTGTCAAGTTGCCCCTTTTTGTTAAAGACCTGGACATTTAAGACAGAAGCTTTGCAAAACATTATACAATTTTTGTTTTTATTATTAAATGAGAAAATCTCATTTGTTACATTGTCACATTGCTAGTCAGAGAAATGCTGCAGTGATGAAGAAAGTCGACGCTGGATCAACCAAAGTCCTCATTCTACAACATTCATTTACAAAGTAATTATAGTAATGTTCACAGCCCAACACAACATTCCTTGTTTTCTTCAGAGAGAAGTCCCAAAATTCTTCCTCCAATGGGGGATTTTTCTACATAAATTATAGCTTGAGAATGGGGGTTGAACAATTCACCCCCAAATCTGCATGAGATCACAAAAATTTCTAAAGCTGTTAGAGAATTCTTCACACATCATCATCATCTGATGTGTCACTGCTGCTTGTTTCAGTATCCTCATTCTCAATCGTGGGTTTGAAAGTGCTGTTTTTCCAGGGGCTAAATTTAAAGTCACAGATGAGGCCATTTTTTAGAATGCCATTTTTTCTAAGGCCATTTTTTTGTAACTGAAATGTAAAAGAAAATAGTTAGTGGGAAGAAAATTGACAGCAGTAATTAATTACACTAAACAATGTTTCTTTTTTGATCAACTGTGGATCTTGTAGGACATTTCAAATATATTACATGGTAAGATTCATTTTTTTCATATCAATCAGGATAATATTCTAAAGATGCGGGAAAAACTGTCACAATGGCTTCTTCGCCTCTTTTCCTGGAAACCTTTTTCCGGTGATTCCAAGCCAAAGAAACCCCAGATTTCAGAAAATTATGCAACTGTAAAAGTGTCCGCAGAAAGAAAACCCCCTCTAGTCTGATATGAAGGAATTGGAGAGTCTATGGACTCCATGGAGCAACATCACTGGTAGCAAAGAAAGCAAATTAAATAGTTTTACACCATAAGTACTAGATATAAGCTTACCTTTAAGTGACAAGAAATGTGATGCAAAATGAACTTGCAAGGCTCACTCAACTATGGATTTTTAGAGCCCTGCAAAATTATTTCTGACGATCATAGGTGTTAAATACAAAAAACTCTTAAGAGACAAGGTGGATGAAGTAATATCTTTTATTAGACTAATTTCTGTTGGTGCAATAAACAGAAGTTGGTTCAACATCTCACCCACCTTACCTCTCTAATATCCTGGGGCCAACATTGGAATACCACTACTGAATAAAATCCTGTAAAATCATCCAGATTTCTGAATTTCCCTTCAGATTGCAGAACATATAATATGTATGTGCTCCGAAGCCATCTCGCACTACCTAGTTCGCTTAATGTCACAACCTAATATTGGCATATCCCTCCATTGTGTTTTGAAAGAATGTGTAAACAAATAAAATGCAAATACTTGGTAGTTTTTAATAAGTATCACCTGTTCACTAATGACTTGGAATTCCCTCATCTCATCCTCTGTTAGTGGAGCACAGGTTTCATCATTTTCACTATCTTCCTGCCAACCCATCTCCTTCAACAACCTTTGGGGGAAAAAAGACAATATTGTGACATTTACATTAAACATTCAAAATTCTGGTTTTTGAACACTATTTAAATAGGTCTTCAAAAATTGTGATCAATACCCAGTTGCAAAATACACATACTTCATAGGGTTTGTTTGGTTTTAACAACAGTGTTTGTTGCTTTTATTTAACATATGCATAGAGTCTGAAATGGCAGGAGCTAACCCTTCAGAATTATTCTGGCTCTTCAGTAAACACGTATATTTATAACCAGGGCTTCACAAACGGCGGCGAAAGCCGCTTGCCAGCCTCGCACTGCGCATGCTCAAGAGCCGCATTGCGCATATGTGCGCCGCTGGTAGACGGGGCGCGCAGCTGAAATCTACTCGCCATGGGCGAGTAGATTCTATAGCTTGTCGAGCCCTGTTTATAACTTTAGAACTCAATTATGAAAGATGCCTTAATGCTAAAGGTAAGCCTTTGAACGGACTTTCATAAATGTGTCCACAATACTTGGCACTTGCACATGCCAACTATGCCACTACCAGCAGAGAGAGACTGCTAACTATGGAGGCATACTGAAGAGATACTCATAAAAGTCTACTTTAAAACAAAGAGACCCCGCCATCACATTTCATGCTATCCTAAGTGAGGAGGCAGAAATGTTATGATCACTCAAACCATGTGATCTATTTTCTAAAGTGAATGGAGGATTTATTTTACTCCCAAGCTTCTCTCCAGAAGCATGGCAACAGGGAAAACAGACTAGAAGCAAAAGACCAAGCGAGCTGGAAACTGGACCACTCACGAAGAAGAGACATGCACGTGAACTATCTAGGGATGTAGAGGGGACAGCAGCCAGCTTAAAAGTCGGTTTCCCCAGCACCGTTTCTGCGATGCTGCCTGCCCCCCTGCGCTGCTGCCTCTATCAGAGGCAGAGGAGAGTAGGGGAGGCTGCTCCAGCAGCAACTCTCTCCATGGGGGTTCCAACTCTCTGCTAGGACCCCCCACGGACAGGATCTGCTGGACCCTGCACGAGCCGGGACTGAGCAAGCCCAGCTCAGTCCTGGCTTGCATCGTTCCAGTACTGCTGCAGCTCAGCATTTTAAAATGTAGTAAGACCCACCCAGGAGGCTCTTACTACATTTAAAACGTGGAGCCGCAGTGGTCTTGGCTCAGACCCAGCTCACACTGGATAGGGGCCCACTCCCGCTGCAGTTCTGGGCTGCCTGCCTGGCAGAAGCTGGGCTGCCTGCCTGGCCTCTCCTCATCTACTAATCATGAGGTCGATTAGTCAATTCTCTGCCTTTTAACATCCTTACTCCTATCATGAACTCTGGCGGAAGGGAATACAAATCTGTGACAAGAAGAAACTGCATCTTTCTGGCTGTTTGAAAGGCCAGAGATTCCCCAAGAATCTCCTGGATCTGCCCTGAAAGATGCTTTGAACTCTGTCACTACTGGGATTCAAATGGTAACTTACTTGTGAGAGTATGTTGGCTTGCCTTATAACCTGTATATTACTCATTTTCTTAATAAACCTTTAGATAATTTATTGAAGGATTAGCTATAGGCATTATTTTTTATGTCAGAGCTAGGATGCCAATTGATTAGGAGTACCGTAAAATCTCAAGTATAATGCACACTTTTCCCCCCAGGTTATTTAGCACCAAAGTCGAAGTGCGCATTATATATAGGAGCTATAATTTAAAGTTTTATTTTGGCAGAAGCCGACGAACCTGTACGGGCCAGGGAACTCCCCCTCCCCTCTGCACAGAAACTTCCCTGCTGCAGCACAGCGTGGGGGGCCGCCGCCCGGCCAGGCTCCCAGACAAGGCGAGGGGCCAGTGGCACCACCAGGCTGCAGCACCCTGACTTGCTGCCTGCCCAGTGCTCTTTCAGGCTGCACCCAGGGGTCCCTGCAGAGGTGTGAGCTCAGCACGGTACGCGGGCAGCTGTCCAGGGGGCAAGTTTCCAACTCTGCTGCCGGCTCCCCAGGCTGCGTGCGTGTTTTACAGGCGAGCCTGCAGGTGGGAGCAGCATGTCCCTCCCTCCCGCACCCCAGGGCCTCCTCCAGGAAGTGGGCGAGGCTGGGCTTGGTGCTGGCGGGTCAACTCCTGGCCTTTTTAAAGAAAAATGTCTGAGGTAAGCTCAATGTACAATGGCGTGCGCATTATATTTAGGCGTTCGGTTTTTTCTCCATTATGCTAAGATTCAAAAGTCAGGGTGCACATTATACATCAGTGCACATTATACTCGAGATTTTATGGTAAGTGAGTGGGCTGCTCATGAGACTAGAAGTGATCTGAATGTAGAGTGATTTTTTTGGTATAAGTGACCAAGACTAGTTCGTTTAGGTGCTAAGGAGAGACTAAAGCAGCAGTTCTCAACCTTTTCCAGATGAGGACCCATTTCGACAATTCAGGAAGACTTGGTGACCCGGGCAATTCAAACAATGTATGAATGGCTCCTTAAGAGCCACCTGGCAACCCTTTTGAAATGTAATGGCAACCCATATTTGGGTCCCGACCCATAGGTTGGGAAACCCTCGGCTAAAGAAACTCTGTTTCCTGGCAAGATTATAATAATCAAGGAGTTGACATTTGTTACTGACTTGGTGAAATTTAATTAGAGAATACAACACTAATTTGGGCTATCTGCCTTAAGGCAGGTGCACTCAATTGCAAGCCATTCTAAATCACACAAGAGAACCAAATGGCACAAGCAAGAGGGAAAAAGCTATGTTCAAGAGTGTACAAGGCCACGAAACCCTAACACCAGAAGGTATAAAAGGATAGGTTAACAGGAGTGCAGCAGAAATATGGATTATGTGTGGTTCTTGAACTTGTTATTCACAGACGACCATCCTAATACCATAAGCACTAAAGTGGGGTAAATGTCAGACGAATTTTTTCTCCTTGATTAGGCCAACCACAGCAAATGGGCTACATCTAGACTGGCATGATTTTCTGGACATGCTTTTAACGGAAAAGTTTTCCGTGAAAAGCATTTTCGGAAAAGAGCATCTAGATTGGCACGGACGCTTTTCCGCAAAAGCACTTTTTGCGGAAAAGCATCCGTGGCCAATCTAGAAGCGCTTTTGCACCAAAAAGCCCCGATCACCATTTTCGCGATCGGGGCTTTTTTGCAGAAAACAAATCTCAGCTGTCTACACTGGCCGTTTTGCGCAAAAGGGACTTTTGCCCGAATGGGAGCAGCATAGTATTTCCACAAAAAGCACTGATTTCTTACAGTAGGAAGTCAGTGCTTTTGCGGAAATTCAAGCGGCCAGTGTAGACAGCTGGCAAGCTTTTCCGGAAAAGTGGCTGATTTTCCGGAAAAACTGGCCAGTCTAGACACGGCCATGGAGTTAAAACAGCAGTGTCTGAAGAGAGTCACACCAACAGCATCAAAAGAGCCCAACACTAGAACTGACTCAATTTTCTGCCACTTGTCCTGATTTGGAAGCCTCTAAAGATGGAGATTTGATAGCATCAAGACACATAATAAATGATCAGAGGACTGCAAAGAAAACAAACAGCAGCACACACTACTAGCAATGATTTTGCACTACAAAGAATCATAGCCACTTCTGATGAAGAAAACATGTGGCAGAAGTCAAGAATCACAATGTGATAGAAAGCATTTTTTTTTTTTTTTTTTTTTTTGTCTAAAGGGTCAAAGCCAACTAAGAAGCAAAGAAAAAACAATGGCACTGACAGCAATCCTATGGGAAATTAATTCAATTGTGAAGTAAAACAAGTTATTTACCCTTTTGAATGTGTGTGTGGAATCAGTGAAAAGCAAATACAGGCAGTCCCCGGGTTACGTACAAGATAGGGACTGTAGGTTTGTTCTTAAGTTGAATTTGTATGTAAGTCGGAACTGGTACATATTGTAGGGGAAACTCTAGCCAAACATTTCTCCAGAGCTCAGTTTTATTCTCCCACACCTCACTTCCCTCAGGCCTTTATTCTCAAGCTGAGGTGTCTGCTGAGAAAAGCCGCTCCGCGTCTCCCTGGTCTGCTGGGGGGGGCACTAGCTTCGCGTCTCCCTGGTCTGCTGGGGGGAAGCAGCTAGTGTGGGGTTGCCTCACCCCGTTTGTAAGTCGGGATCCGATGTAAGTCGGATCCATGTAACCCGGGGACTGCCTGTAAAATCCTGATAAAATTGAGGAATGGTTTTTAGGTCCAAAGAGCAAGAAAAAGGGCAATTGTCTTCAAAGTACTTTGTGGCAGGATCAGTCCACTGAGGGAAAGCAAAGACAAACTGGAAGGCACAGACTTGATGAAAATCTTATCTTGAAGTCTTTAGAAGACTGGATAACCTTCTAAGAGAAATGCAATAACTGAAACAGAAACTAAGGGCATAATGCAGGAATTACTGGCAGTAGTTCTATGACCTTCTGTTACGCAAAAGTCAGACTTGCTAAATGGTCATAAAAATCAATCTAAGCTAGGGAGATCAAATAGTGACAAATCGAACCAATGAACAAAGAAGCTCCAGCAAGGGAGCAACAAACTTTATTTCAGAGATCAGATAGAAAGAATCAAAACTGGCACAACACTGCCTTTGTTAGACTTTTGCAAAAGCCTTAAATAAAGTGATGATACACCAGTCCCCAATCCCTATTAAGCCTAGCTTTGAGAAAGCCCCCAACACAGGCATCAGCCCCTCCTCTCCACGAAGACAAGAGGAAGGGGCAAGTCCCCGATCCAGACACCAGCACCTCCAGAGCCTTTACTACTCCCAACTTCACTGTCCCACTGGAGGACATGGTGCAGTGTAGTCCTGCCCTTCTCCCTTTGCCAGATCTGGCTGGGTCTCCCGGCCCACTCCACTCCTGGGAGAACAAGATCCAGGAGCATGTACCCTCCAAGCACCATCAGGCTGGCCACTCCACTCACTGCAAACTGGGCTGTGCAGGGTCCCAAGGCCCCTATATCAGCCAGAAACTATGGGGGAAGAGGAGGGAAGAAGAATTCTGCAGTAGCATAACATGCTCTAACCAGGATGGGGAGCAGCAGCAAAGGGTCATTTGGGAGAGATTGCCCAAAATCAAGAATAGGCATGTACTTGAGGAAAATAGTATATTCTAATATGACAACACTTAAGTGCATAAAATATGTTCATTAATCGCTATATGCTGGTTCACCCCTTATTATTTACACTTCACTTTGATAAATGGTTACCATATTTTATCATTTAAGAGCAGCTTCTTTAAATGCCTTAACATGCTATTGTAAAACAATTGCTAAATTCTTACCAAAACAGCTATCCTTGTCCTTCAGCATTCTATTCTAGTGATTAAAGTGCATTACTATCTCAAAACTCTGCAACATGAGCCATTAACCCTTTCTACACTGAACTCGATCAATCGTAAAAGAATCAAGCTGTAATGATTATATTAGCTTGCTTTTCAAAATGCGTGGATAAAAATTGCAAGCCAGTTTTTCAATAACTACTTTGTTACCACTTTCATCAGAATTGTCCATTGTTGCCCTACAGAAAACCTAGTTAACTACCGCAGGATGCCACCTCGCTAAGGTGAAGCGGCACTTCAGTAAGTTGTGCTGCCAAGATTCCAGTAATTTTACTGTGATGTGGTGACAGTGAATGAAAAATGTTATTTTAGTAACCAGAAAGAACTGCTGAAATATAGCATTGAACATCTACACTTATTGCAAAATTGCTTACAGGAGAGGTGATCTCCCAGCAGTATTATTCACCTCCTTATGTGGCTGCTGCTATAGATTATTTATAGACATCCTGGAACAGCAGGTTTCAGTACTTTTCAGAACCCATTTTCTCCCCTTTTGCTTTTGAGTTAATCCACACTACAAAACAAAAGCAACTATAAAAAGGATTATCTTGCTATATTTCAACAATAAATGTGGAAAAACTGAAAGTTAGACAAATTTAAGTAGGAAACCAATGTGTGCACAGCAACCCATGAGAAGTTATATTTTAAAATTAATTATCAACTCATGATCATAGCATTAGGTTTATCCCTATATTTAAATTAAAGTTTGTATCAGTCATGAATTCACAAAAAAGATGTTCAACAGCTATTGCAGACACTGATACAAAGTACATACCTATGTTCTGCCTCAAGTGAACTTGAAAGGACATCTGTCTGAGGAAAAGTTGAAGACCGAATGATCTGTTGAGAAATCATTGAAGCATTTCCATTCTCTTGAGGAATTTCATTTTCAAAGTTTCGGTTTATGTCCCTCTCATGATGAGCATTGTTGGTGTTATGCATATTAAAGGAGTCATCCTGTTAAAAAAAGCACATTAAATATACATTATACACAAACGAGACATTTACAAAGTAATGCTCTGGCAAATGCTTTCATTTTTCGGGGATTGTGTACCATTTAATTTGTATTTAAATGTAGAAACTCACCATCAATTCACAAAATACCTATTTGTACTTCTAAATACATTAAGTTAGAGGTACTAGATTTCCAGGAGCAGCAACTACAGTTCTTTGAGACGTGCGGTGCCTGTCTGGATTTCATTAGGGATAGACAAACAATCCATGCACCTGAGACTGAAGATTTGTTGCAATCAGAGTCTGTTGGTCCAGACCTGTGCTCACCTCTTGCACTATTTGTTCTGCTACAGAAATTAACAGCCTATGTAAATTTCTGATCTTGCCTTATGTGCAGATAAAATACCAGTGCTTGTCTCATGCTGAGGGAACAAGGCCTCCTTCGTGCACCAGAGGTAAGAGGCTTCAGGAGAAAAAGAAAACTCACGTAAATGGGCTCACGGACTTATAAGAAATTCTGAAAGAAATACAAGAATAAATCTCAGGGTACGTCTAGACTACATGCCTCTGTCATCAGAGGCATGTAGATTAGGCTACCAGACATAGTAAAATGAAGCGGCGATTTAAATAATCGCCGCTTCATTTAAATTTACATGTCTGTCGTGCTGAGCCGACAAACAGCTGATCAGCTGTTTGTCGGCTCAGCACGACAGACATGTAAATTTAAATGAAGCGGCGATTATTTAAATCGCCGCTTCATTTTACTATGTCTGGTAGCCTAATCTACATGCCTCTGATGACAGAGGCATGTAGTCTAGACGTACCCTGAGATTTATTCTTGTATTTCTTTCAGAATTTCTTATAAGTCCGTGAGCCCATTTACGTGAGTTTTCTTTTTCTCCTGAAGCCTCTTACCTCTGGTGCACGAAGGAGGCCTTGTTCCCTCAGCATGAGACAAGCACTGGTATTTTATCTGCACATAAGGCAAGATCAGAAATTTACATAGGCTGTTAATTTCTGTAGCAGAACAAATAGTGCAAGAGGTGAGCACAGGTAGCTGTAGAAAGACTTTGTCCTTAAGGAATATTGAATAGGGCGGATCAGCTATTAGGGTTCCAAGTTCACCTATCACTGTGGCCAAGGAGACATGGAACACATGGCTAGCAGTTTAGTCTAGCTTAATTTAGTGCTTTTATCACTCATTAAGAGCCAAGTAAAAAGTTAAACTATGTTGATAGTGGTACGTCAGACTTGTGATCCCCAAACTGGATGTGATGTTTCCTTATAATTATCTCAACTAGAAATAATGCTCATGTGGCTTGACCAAGAATAGAGGATTGACTGGAATCTCTGTTGACTAACTGGACACCTAAGTGTCAGAACACAGTTCAGAAAGACTTCTGTAGCAGCGTGGAACTTTCAAAATTAAGCCCCAAAAAGATTAATTAGTAAGCCTGACAACTCAATAGAAATCTGAACAATGCTGCAGATTTGGCCAAACCATAAGTTTTCAAAAAAGGATGTTTCTTTTCTCAAGTATAATCTTATTTCTTCAGTACCTACAATTTGCCAAGTAGCAAGCCACCACTGTTACCCAGCACACTATTAATAAATTAACACAATTTAGATTAGAGTCTGTTTAGACCAGTAGATTAGGGAAATACTAGCATACCTGCAATTTCTCACCAGTGGCAGAATATTTACTTCCAAAATGAGGACGTATACCACAATGCTCCTATATGGTAGATTACATATACAGGAATTCCTCATTTAACACGAGCCTGCTTAACACATTTTTGCAAAGCACGATTTTTTTTTTAAGAGAACGTTTTTTGAATTACACGACTGTCCCCTGAATAACAAGATTTCTGCAGCCAGCCTGTTGCTGGCAGCTGCACAGGGCTTCCCCCGTCTCCCTGCAAAGCGGCGGAGGGTTCGCTGCTTGCCGCGCCATTCCCCGACGATCCCCCCCCCTTCACCAGACGCAGTGCAGGTGCCAGCAGACCCATTACAGGGGCATACTTCCAACCCAATCCACCTCCTCTCTCCTCCCCTTCCATTCCCCAGAGCCAAACACCTCCCCTCCCTGCTGTAAACCGTCGCCTTTCTCCCCCAACCTTATGTCCTGGTTCCAATAAATACCACTGCTTGAAATGCAACCCCCACCTTTTTCATTATTTTCAATGGGAAAACTGACCCCACATAACACGTTTTCACTTAACACGATCATTTTCTGAAACGTATCTATAGTATTAAATGAGGAATTACTGTATAGTCTTCCACAAATTACAATTGTTAGATTTAAGTTTGCTGCTTAAAATCCATAGTGAGAGTCTAAGAAAGACATTCCAAAATACCTTCTTTCATTTTCAAAAGGATGGCAATCATTAACTAACAGTTTAGAAAGTAACAAATTTAAAGTTATTAATATACTGTAAAAGCTGTATTATTGGCACTTTACTAAGCAGAAAGCTCTATTAAACAGCATTTCTGGTATCTCTCAATACAAATCTTCAATCTAGTAACCAGGACTAATATACTGCCCAGAAGGTTATGAAACTTCATATTCTGCACTCTACTTTTATGCAAAAGAGGAAGACAAGAAAGCGGATACCAGGGATTTGTTAAAAAAATCTGCTTCAAGGATGTGTCACAGGGTCATTACAGATTCAGCAAAAATTCCTATACCTTCTACATCTACAAGGATAATTTATGTTGACTATACTAAGGAACTGCAAGATCCTGAAGTGTCTTCTGAATCAAAGATTAAATTATGTTCAATATCCGTTTAGTGTTAAATGTATTTTTAGTGATTTGGGTGTACATCATGTGCTGCCATGGTGATACGTAGTGTCATAAGATAGGCAACTTTACCTGTATATAACTTAGTGCTTCAAGAACTCACTCTGTAATGCAGTACTAGTACTGGATTGGTGAGTACTTGTGTATTTTATACTTCATTAATTTTATTGTATCCTAATTCTTTGAAAATTGATATGCCATTGATAAGCCTCTTAGTTAACCAGAATTTTTTTTTTACTAACATGCCAGATAAAGCTTTTATTGTAATGAATATTGCAAGGCATTAACAGTAAGTTCATCTAATGGTCTTTAACAATTAAAACCCTCACTGTCCTCAACTTTTATTTCCAGAAACTTTGCTGTGTTGTGCATAGTTCTGATTACAAGCTACCTGGAGTAAAGACTTGCCAATTTTATCTACCTGCAAAGAGCCCTGCACATAATGAAAATAAACTCTAGAGACAAACTTGTTTGAAAAGATGATATACTGGCCACTTAGTTTCTGAAATGCTCTAGGGAAAGTGTCACTAGAAAATAGCTAACTGATGCCCAGAAGGCTACTGAGAAGAGCAAACCTAAGGCTGGTTCCACAGTGCATAGTTGGGTTGATAAAGCAGCTTAAGCCAACCTAATTAAGTCAGTATACACACTACAACTTTGTCCCACAAATGTAAGTACCCTATTACACCAATATAACTCCACAACCATGAGGTGGCAGGCTTATCTAGTTAGAGCAACTATTTACATTGGGGGTTTGCTGTCTTGTCAATTTCTTGACTCCAGCATGGAGCCCTGAAATTGACAAGAAAGCTGTTTAGCTAGAGCCCTAATGAGGGTGAAGCCCAAAGCCTAGGGAACAATCAGTCTCAGAGGAGAGCTGTGCATAGATGCAAGCCCTGGCTCTCAGCCTCACACAATGCCCCTTTCCAGTCAGTGGAAACTCAGTGATAATGCACACCAGACAGAAAGAGATTCCGTGGGACATCAACCACTTCAGTAATTACTGCAGGGGCTGTAAGTTGACCTAACATTTTGACTGAAGTCTTGTAAGTGTGGACATGCCCTAAGACTGCAGAACAATACGTGAGAGGTTTTAATGAGACTATTCATGGGGACAGTCGAGAATTTGTGCATAGGTGAATAGCTACACGTTTCATAAGTGTAACAATATATAATTTCACACACTGCCAACCAAGGTATCACTAAAAGAAGAAAAAAAACATAAGGAACCTAATATTTAAATGTTCATTATAAAGAGGGATTAAATGATAGCAGGAAACAGAGTGTTTCAATACCTCAGCAAGTAGGGACATTAAAAGATAATTAAACTTTCCCTAATATTAAATAGGTTTAGGAACCTGACATTGTTTTACACTTTATATTTCTGTAAGTTCTGTCATGACAAGTTTTTTTCCCCCAGTTATAAGTGTTCAGAAAAAGTGAAAGTCTCATTACAACCAAATAAACCAATATATGTTTGGTTTGAGATTTAACATGACTATCTCTCAAAAGTTGGCGACACAAACTACCTTCTCTTCCCCAACATGATTCTCATCTTCATGCTCCTCTTCAACTCTATCCTGTTTCAATGTCTTTAAGAATTCACTCTTCTTATCAGTGCGCATTCTTGTCAACTTCGTTAATCGAGGCTGATTAAGTTTGTCAACGGGAGATGAAGAATTTGACCTATTACACTAATGTGTAGAGGAGAAAAAGTAAAAAGTTTGCAAGTTAAAAACAAGATAGAACACAAGACAGAAGTTCCTTTTATTAAGCAAGAAGTAAAAATTTACACCTACTGCAGTTTCACTTGCATCTAGAAACCAGCAGACTTACTTACTATGCTTACATAATGTAGTGTAAAATACGGTAGGGAGAACATTAAAATTCCCCACTACCAATGGGTAGTGGAGGCATTCTGTGTGTGTACCCACTCATGTCAGATTTTGAAGGAGTTCGAGTATTGCCTCTGAAAGGTGGTAAACACCATCAGCAATTTTTATGTTCAACATTCTTAGACAATGTCTTCTAAACCATCCACCTCTTCCCTTTCCAAATCAGCAAGATAGTTGGCAGATACTGCAGTGGCTGCAAGTCAACCTAAGGCATGTAACATTGGTGAAGTTTAATTACCTCACCCAACTTGCATCTAATATCATGGGCCCAAAACTGCTATAACATTGTCTACACGTTTTTACTTACTGTATAGCAGGTTATTCAGATTAATAACTTGATTTTAAAGATATTTGATGCAAGAAAAAAAATACTATACCTCTTTCACTGAATTCTGCGATACACTAAAAGCCTTGGCAGATGATTTGAAAGCATTAAAGTTGCCAATACCATATGAAGATTCATGAGGAAATGGAGTCCCAAGTTTATTTTCTTTTGTCTGGCTTTTCCATTGTGTAGGCTAAATGAAAAATAAAACCATTAGCTAGCATGTGCTTATTCAGGAAAAGCTACAAGATTAAAACAGAACACTGTTATTCTATAGGCCAGTTCAGGCTATTAGCCTTACTCCCTGCCGGTAGGCTTCTAGGGCTCTCTAGTCCAGCAACATCCATGGTCCTGCTATATCACAGATGTCGCCAGACCAGAATCCCGTACCAAAGAAGTTCAACCAGCACCATGCTCTTTTAGTTATCTAAACAGACCAAATCAGATTCAAAAGCTGTGTGAAATATTTTGTAGTATATTTAGTGCTGCAATATTTTTTTTAAAATGTCAATAGTATTACTCACCCTCAAATAACTTGATATTCCATTACATAAAAAGCATGTAAATATCTGAAGAAAGAATGAATCCATGGCTTTATTTTTTGGAAAGGGACTAAAATGGCTATTACATTCTGTATTTAAGAAACTGAAAATACTCAGTTTTTAAAATATTTTATTCAATTGTCAGCCCCACAAATTGACATAGTGCAGCTTGACTCTGAGCTCAATGTCAATCAAACTTCTACTGTGAGTACTACAAGCCAAATTACATCCTATGGAATGCCTGTGAAGATCCTTCACTCTTCACCCATTCAAGGAAATGCAAATGAGAAGGAATAATTTAACCTATTCACACACTCTGGTGGATTCTAAATTTAACTAGAATCACCCGGGAGAAAAAAATGACAAGGATGTCATTATGGACAACTTGATGAAATCCTCTATTGCATACATGGGGGAGAAAGGAAAATATTAATGGGGTTAAAGGACTGGATACAAAAATACTGATAATATATTCACACTATAGTATTTACCTGGTGTTGCTCGTGTCCTTAACTCAATTTTTGTTTTTCATTTAAATAATTGCACTGGGGTGGGACTGGTAATGAGGGGTTCAGTATGTAGGATGCCGTGGGAGAGGACTACCCCAAGCCCCCCTCGCACTGCAACAGCTTGGGGCCAAATGAGAAGCGCCTCTCCATGGCCGCTATAGTTCAAGCAGGCATCACCAGGGAGTAGTGTATGTCTCCCAGCTGGGACACGTCCAGGTCCATCTGCCCTCTGAGCTCCCCAGCCAGACTGATAAATGGATCAAATTGTGCACTTCCCCCTCAGTCCCTGAACCACCAGCAACGTTCCCATTCGAATGAGGGAGGGGCATCCTCCCTAAAGGGCATCTGGAGGGTGGGAGTCTCAGGGCTAGGGTATTCCCGGACTGGGGGAGGTGGAAGAAAAGGAGAGTGGGACGCCTCCAGCCAGTCCCTTTCACCTGGTTGGTGACTATCTTTTCTGTGTGATTTTATGCATTCCCATGCACATGGGAAGGGTGTGTGCTTCAGCTTCTTTCTTCCCCACCCCCTTTCCACACAACCAAAACCTTACCTTGCTTTAAGTTATGGTAAGAAGCAGCTGAATATCACATTTGGTGTTCCTAACTCTTACTGTTTAAGAGGAGCTCTTGAACGGACAGAGACTCGCTTGCTCACAAACTCTCTCAACTATAGAGTAGATTACACAAATCAATTGTGTCCCTTCTAATCTCACCTGGAATACACTGTTTAATTCATATCATCCTATCTCAAAAAGATGTAGCAAAAACAGGAATGGTGTAAATACAATCCAGAAGAAGATTCAGTTACTTTTTAAATATAAAACTACTTAAACATGGTAATACTACATGAACATCTAGCACTCCCAGATATGAGACATAAAAGTCAGCACACATTTTACAGATGAAATATTCATATTTCCAACACAGTTCAAGTTTACCTTTGCAGGTGGAGTAGCAGGTTTAGGGACCAATCCTTTATAAACACTTGTACCAGTTCCATTCTTGACTTGCTGTGAATGAAGACCTCCTACTATAGGGAATCCAGATATTTGCAAATCTTTTGTACTACCCTTTTTAATTACCAGCATTCTTGGAGATCTAGATTTTGGATTCAGAGGATATTCTATACAGAAACAAAAGCAAAATAAAGCAGAGAATGAGCCTTCTCTCCCTAATGTTGCAGGATACACAATGTTGGGCGGCAATGTAGTCCAGGGCAAAGAAAAAAGGCCTGGAAATCAGGAACTGAGTTCACTCAGTTCACTCTCTGATCTGCTAGTAACTCGGGGGGGAGGGGGGGAATTAAAACTTGTGAATTGTTACTTAACAAACAACAAGAAGTCCTGTGGCACCTTATTGACTAACAGATTGGAGCATAAATTTTAGTGGGCAAAGACACACTTCATCACAATTACCAATGGCCTTGAGAAACCACGCTAAATGTTGACAACCATTTTTTTCTCTCATGTATATTACTGTGTTAATCCAAAACTAGAAATAGTGTTTGATTTCAGTAATTTTACATCTCCGTATTCATATAAAAAGCTATTTGGCTGCTGAGATTCCCTCTACTCTATCAACAATTGGCCAGGGCTAAGCAACCTTGCATTTGCTCCAAAATTATGGCTCAGTCTAGACTAGAGGAACAACTCTCCTACATGAATAGAAGAAAAAACGGTTACTTACCTCGTAACTGTTGCTCTTTGAGATGTGTCACTCGCGTCCATTCAAGTTAGGTGTGCGCGTGCCGCGTGCATGGATCCCAGAGCTTTTTTCCCTTAACAGTATCCATTGGATCAGCCAGGGAGCCCGCTGGAGTGATGCTGCTATACTGGTACATATATACCACTGCTGGCCCTCCACCCCTCAGTCTCTTCTTGCCAGAGTCCTCCAACGAAGGGGAGGCAGGTGGGATTTGGAATAGACATGAGCAGGGCTCGACAAATTATACAATCTCCTCACCTGTGGCGAATAGATTGTAACCCGGAAGAGCCGGGTTCCGGAGATCTGCGCAGTGGGGGAAACCAATGCTGGCGGAGCCACGCTGGTGCTATCGTGATGACTGAAGCTCTGAACCTCCTGATCCTGAGGAGGGCTTTGTGCAGTAGTGGGAAAGAGGGGAAGTGTATAGGAGCTGGTGGAACCACTGCACTTGTAGGGAGTCCCTTTGAGATGCTATCCCCTGGCCCAGGTACAAACAATAGCTTAGGCATTTGTTGTTCTCCTGGGAGGCCAACAGATCCAGACGGGGATCAGCCCCACCTCTGGAAAACGCCCTCCAGGCCGTCCATCTTGATGGACCACTTGTGGGCCCTGAATGATCTGCCCACACTGCAATTCTCTGGAAGGTATGCCGCCTCCAGGTGAATCCTGTGCGAAATGCACAGGTCTCAGAAGTAGGGCTTCCTTGAACAGGGGAGAGGAATGAGCTCCACTCTGTTTGTTGATATAATTCGTAGCTGCCACGTTATCTGTCAGCACGGAGATCACTTTGAGCCTCAAGTTGGGAAGAAACACCTGAAAGGCCAGCCTGACCACCCTGACATTTATGAAGGGAGCTCTTCCTGGGGGACCACATACCTGGAGTCCTGAAATTTGAGAGATGGGTGCCCCAACCCGCATCCAATGCATCTGGGCCATCCTCAGGCATATTTTCAAAATGAAGTCTTGTGCTGCTGGTTGGGAGGCAGGGCGGAGCCCCTTTCAGAGTCCGAACTTGACCCCCTACGCCTGTTCCTGCTGTTGGTGGTTGTGTTATTCCTACCCCTCCTCCTGCCCCGATCGGGTCTGAAGAACTGCTGGAAGAGTTGTAGGGTTGTCCTGGGGTGAAGGGATTTCCTTTGAGGTGCCAGGGTATGGATCCCCAGAGACTTCAGGGTAGCCCTGGAGTCCTTGAGACTGTGAAGCCTCAAGTTAGTCTGCTCCGAGAAAAGAACAGCCCCCTCAAAAGAGAGATCTTGCAGAGTATTTTGGACCTCAGGCAGAACCCAAGACACCTGGAGCCGCCTGCAGCACTGTACGAGAAACTACCTTGCTTTCATCAGGCAAGGTACCAAACCCCTGTTGGACTCCTGCAGGAGGAGTTAGTTGAACTTATCTACAGCAGACCATGTATTACAAGCATATCTGCTCAGCATTGCTTGCTGATTTGTGATATGCAGTTGTAGGCCCCGTGAAGGTCTTTCTGCCCCAGAGGTCTAGTTTTTTCAGGTTCCTTCTTCTTGGCATAGGCCCAGGTGGACCTTGCCTCTCCTTTTGACCCACCGCCTGGACTACCTGGGAGCTCAGGGCTGAGTGCACATAAAGATGTGCATGTACCAACTAAGGGACAAAGTAAAGCCTCTCCACCCCTTTTTGGGTGGGTGGTATAGAGATAGGTGTCTGCCACAAGGTTTGAGATTTTTGCTACCATCTTGTTTAACGGTAGTGCAACCCTAGCGGGGAATATCAGCTGTCAATATGTCCACTATGAGGTCTGAGTCCTCTGTGACCTTCTCCACTTGAACACCTAAATTAGTTGCCAGCTGACAAATCTTGGTGTGCCCTGGCATCCACTGCAGGCATGGAAGGGTGCAGGGTCGGCCAATGCCTCATCAGGAGAGGAAGAGGACTTCATCACCGGGAGCTCCTGGTACTATGGCTCCAATGCCTGCAGTAGTGGGGCGACCAGCAGTGGGGGCTGAGCCAGATTCCCCTTAACCTCAGCTGGTGGCCTCTTTGTAGGATGACTGGGCGGTGTCAGAGGCTGGGGCTCTAGTGAGGGGGGTGGCAAAAGGAGTATCCTGTGAGTGGCTACCAATGAGGGTCTCGGGGGGAGGTGGCCCCTAGGCCTGATATGCTCACAGCATCCAAAATGGCCACTGAGCCGGTCATTGCCTTTGGAGCAGCCATGTATTCTGTACTGTCAGGCTTGGGTGCTGGGAACGGTACCAGTATTAGGAGCTATGGCACAACCTAGATCTATATGAAAAGGCCTTTGAGCAAAGCAACACAGCCTCTGTTTCAGACAAGCAGTCCAAAGCTGACCACAGCAATGACTATGATGGTGCCGGAGACAGGTGCAATGATCTGTGGTGAGCCATTATCACCTGCTTTCTCCTGTAGGTGAGTGCTGGAGGGGGTATTGAGAGCGCAGACGGTGGCAAAGGCTGTAAATAACGCAACCTGCGCTGCCAGTACTGGAAGAGCTCCTTGCACCGACCCCCCCAGTGCAGAGGGCTATAACAACCCCACAGAGATTGGGGGTCCAACGGGAGCCTTTGTGCAGATGCCATCACCAAAGTAGACACCATTGCTGGAACGGGTAACACAGACGGGGATGGGGCCAGGGCCAGTAAAGGCGGGTGCAGATGCTGGTACTGGTGTGGGAGGCAATGTTGGTGCTGGTGTCTGTTATCTGTGCCGATGTCAGCACACGCACTGGTGCCAAAGAGCAAGACTGCACAGTATGGTGCGGTAATAGCAGCTGGGCTGGTGCCTACACCATGGAAGGTCCAGGGTGTGCTGTGCCAGCTGCTGGGTCTGGGCCCAGAGGAGATGTGAACGGTATGAGATCACAACCCACATGGAAAGTCTTGGGGATCAATGATTTCCAGACGTCTTCAATCACTATGACCAGAACTGGACTCTCCTCATGTGTCGAGCTCAACTTGTGCCAACACAGCACGGGAGCCACCTGACACATTGTCATATCTGTGCGCCCATCACCATGGTGCACTTTGTGGCTATGTTTGGTAGGGGACAGCCCCCTGAGTGGCCTCTTCCTACTTGGCATTGGAGACTAGGACTGATGCTGAGGGTTTGGACTGTCTCAGTATGACCCGGAGTAAACAAAGGTTCCCACACCAAAGCCGGTGTGCTGCGCACCCGCAGTGCTGCATCCTATGCTGCTGATTGTAGAGTGGACTCCATGGGGATGAGTTTAAGACAGGAATCATGTTCCTGCTCTGTTCTTGGCTTACAGCCTTTGCAGATCTTGCTGCTGTCCGTATGATGGCCCCCTCCAAAGCACTTCAGGCAGGAGTCTCGTGGGTCACCGCTGGGCACAGGTTTTAAACACTTCACACATGGCTTGAAACCGTGCAGTCCAGGAATCCCCTCCGCAGGAGGAGAGAGATAAGAAGGGGAACTCCTCTATGTATAACAATGAACTGGTAAAACGATTTACGCTAAGGAACTACAACTAACATTAACACTATTTACAGAAGATTAAGGGATAGAATAACTGCATAGTCAAGCACCTCAGTTACCGTCACGTGCCATAAGAAGGAATGAGGGGGGTGGAGGACCAACAGCAGTATATATGCAGCGATATGGGGTGCCACTCCAGGGAGCTCCCTAGCTGGCCCAACAGATACTGCTGACCCAACGGAATAAAGCTGTGGGATCCATGCATGCAGTGTGCACACACCTAACTGGAATGGACACGAGCAAGCACTCGAAGAAGAATATGGCAGTCTGATACAAAGCAATATGTGTCTCATTCATTTCCGGTTTCAAGTGTTTTTGTTATTTTGCTTCAACATGCCTCAGATGTGGAAAATATAATAGCATACACTAGCATACACTATTTGTATTTACTATCAACTTCAGGGGTGAGACACTTCATTAGAAAGACAGCACTTAAGATCATTAATCATGTTTGCTTAGAGACATGGTGTTTCTTTATAAAATGCAAGAAATATTTATACAGAGGAATTATCACACAGTCTTTTGCACAGAATTAGTCTACTGGAACTCGTGTTAAAAGATTAGACTATTTTCAACTCTAAACATTACTGTACCATTTCTATTAGAGAAACTAAATTAGGACTCATCTACATGGACAAGCTAGTGAAGAATAAAGCAAAAGTATGAATTTAAAAGCCAAAAAAGCTATTCCACACTGACTCCCTGAAGATGCTAAACTACAAACAGGCCCTCCTTAGTGCATATTAAGGTCTGGTCTACAATATGATTTTAGGTCAAACTTAGCCATATTAGGTTGATTTTCTAAACAACAGGTCCACACCACCAAGCACATTTCACCAGCTGTAAGGGCTGTTAAAGTGTATTTGCTTTTCACAAAGAATAATGGTAAATTCAATCTTGCATAGACAACTTTAGGGTACTGCAGATGTAGCG